TATTGATTACGTAATGTATTATTACACTGTTCTTATTACAATATTAGTTTTCTTGCCTGCTACTTCATACATATTTGGACTTCAGAAGAAGAAAACCCAATAAAACGTATTCTAGATAGCATATCAAGATAAAAACATACACCAGTTTTTGGAGCTAGATCTTCAGTAACAAACTGTTTCGCCCATTGTTTTGTCATTGTGATTATTTCTTGTAATTATTTATATTTATAATAAGTTTACTATTGTAATATTTTGGAGGAAACAATAAAGAGTATCTATCTATCTATCTATAACTGTCAAAACTGCATTAAATTGGTGTAGTAATTTTTGTGTGATGGCAGAGCGAACAAAAGACAAATAAAATCCTTAAAAAATACATTACTAATACATTTCTATTATTTTGACCTTATTAAGATCCCTTGTGTCCGTTTTTCTTAAATATCTTCCATGTACAGACATAGTCTAGTTACAATCTTGTTATATTAGTAAAATAAGGTTCTACTAAATGAATTGACTAAAATTGATTGAACAAAATTAAAAATCATAATTATTCAATAAAAACTCGAAACCAATCATTTCATTCGCATGAGTTGATTAATTGCAGTGACTAGAATAATATCGCACAAATTTGATCTGATCATTCCAATTGCTCTAGAATCACTTATCGATCTTTTGTAAGCACAAATTGATCATATCAATGATTGATATTATCGATGTTTACACAACCGTGTCTGCGTGATTTTAATCAATCAATCTGTTCTATCAATCAATAAAATAAAAACATGTTTAGTCATGCTTATGACATGTAAATTTCTAGTGCCCAATTTAAAATATAGTTTCAGTCACATGTACAAAATGTGAAAGTAATAAAGTACGTGCCGTTTTGTTTTAAATGCATTTCGATGATTGCAAAAGAAATAAGTTCTAACTCGTAGAAAATACTTTTTATAACAATATTATCCGAAATAAGTATTCGTCATTTTTTTAATAAATTTGTTTTTTTTTAATAACAAGCAGAGAATATTGTAAATATTGATAACATATTTAATAATTATTTAATTTTAAAATATATAAAAATATATAATCTTGTAGGTACTCTTCCCAGTTGTTGTATAATATTATTTAAATAAAACCAGTAGTTGACAATAAAAACTGTTATTTACTATTAGCTGTATTCTACGGATCTGTTCGCAGGAATCAGTACACAAAGCATCCTATATGTTTAATTAGGATATAACCTACCCATGTACCAAATTTCATCCAGATCCGTTTAATAGTTTTTGTTTGAAAGAGTAACACACATACATCCATCCACCATTACAAACTTTCGCCTTTATTATATTAATAGGTTTATTACGTAAAATTTGTATTAAACCAACAGAATAAATATAAGACCAATAAGTAAACCTTTTTTTAAAGAAATTATATACCTATAAGTAAAATCAAAAACAATTCAAAATAAATAAAGATATCATTTAATTTACATACAAAAATTACAGGCAAATTTAAAACTTCTCAATCACAAAACCAAAATTCCATCAAACATAATTATTCTTTGTACTCCCACATGTTATAGGCGACGAGTATCACTGTCCATCAGGTAGGCCGTCAGCTTGTTTTCCATTCTAAGTTGCTTTAAAAAAGAAAATTAATTTAAACTAAATTTTCCTTCACTGAAACATATAGTTAATAGAATAAGTACTTAATATAATGCGGTATCATTAAAACTTCAAACTGCCAACTTATTAACCGCTTTAACTTATTAAGTTCAATAACATTGCCTTATAATATGATATAATTAATCATTTCTAGGTTAATATTACGAGATTCCTGTAAATGCATGCACCAAATGTTGTCTAGCTAAAAAATTATGCTTATTTTATGAATTATTATTCATAGGTATAAACGGTAAAAATGGTTCTAAAATTGAGGTAGTGATCATTTATTTTTAACAAAATGTAATCGCTCCTTTCATAAACTTTTTGTTTAATTATATAAAGATCGACGTGTGATCTACGCGGTAGATAAGATATTAAAAACGAAATAATTTATTATATATATATATATATATATATATATATATATATATATATATATATATATATATATATATATATATATATAATATCATTATCTTCCAGCCCTTACCCCAATTATATCAATTTTAGGGTTTAAATTCATCTATTCGAATAAAACGTAATTTTTATTTGTTTCATAAAAAAATATTTTATTTTTACATTAATGCAATAAACAATAAAAATATTTATATTTTTCAATATTCTTTTAATAATTTAGTAATATTTCTATTTATATAAAATACAAGTATAAGATGGGATATCAATCACACAGTTAAAACTTCTTAGAGAACTGGGCGCTTGTCCCTAGTTTTAAATGTTCCAAATATGCCCTATGTGAATTATGTAAAGATATTATGTAACTCACTTTAAAAAAAATCGACCAAAAAAAATCTATAATTTTTTCAACATTAATATAGAGCAATTTTGAAAGCTAAAAAGTGAATCCTTTTGCTAAAATCGTTAATTTTAATTTTTCATTTTTTATTTTGTACACCTAATAATAACACATTTTTTATAAATTTAATTTTGAAACTTAATAAAATTTGTTTAGATATTTCATAATCAATTTAAAATTATCAAAAGTATGACATAAAAAATATTGATTTGAAAAACTGAGAAAGTGTTATAAAAATAAATGTGGGGTTTTTGGTTGTAAAGTTTGAGAGCCGTTAATCTTCTTAGTAATTTTTTTATAAGTACCAATAGCCATTAAGGTGTGAAACTGTCATATAAGCAGGTGATAACTATAAATTTATGATTGACTCCTAGATAGCTTTATTTCATACTGGTTACCAGTTATTACATTCTCCGTTGACAACAAACATTCCCTATAAGGGTAACACACAAATCTAAAAAGGTAAAGAGCAGTTTTCGTCACTTGTTGTTTGCTATTTATACTTCATAATCCTACTAAAGTGATTAATATGAAATTTTGTAATATTTCGATGTATGTTACACAATCACGCTTAAAAGCATTCATATCTTAAAAACTCCGCTATACTCAAATGATAGTAGGATTTGCTTCGTATAATACCGCCTATGTAAATATACTAGTCCGTTAATATTACGCCCTCAGCGCAAGAGGCCTATTGAACTCGGCCGAGTTATACAAAGCAAATCCTGTTATGATTCGTAGTTATAAAACCATTAAACCAAGTTTAATAAAATGTCTATGGAACCAATCTGTAAATATACCTTTTCTAATAAAAATAAATATAATTTATATAAAAGACGTAGTTATGAAGTAATAAACATAAAAAAAATATACGACCGAATTGAGAACCTCTTTCTATTTGAAGTCGGCTGAAAAGATGTTGAAATCTTATATGTTTATAGTTGTAAATTCATTAAATAATCTTAAAATTATATACTTCACCATTTATATTACAAAAATACAATATACTGCATCTATTGTTAAAGAGATGTTGGAAATGAACACAACGAAGATATCTCTGTTTGTACACCTTATATCTAAGTACTATGAATATTGATAACAAGATCTTAAATCATTATTTCAAGTCTCTCTCTCTCTCTCTCTCTCTTCATTTAAGAGTTTCCCCTTGTCGGTGCAACTAATTCATGCATTTTCTTCCAGTCAGCTCTATCCCAGGCCATATCTTTGACCTCTCTATACGACATGACACCTAGTGTTTCCTTAATCTAATCTATACTTATAATAAATCTGTAGAGAGGTCATTTCTGTACATGAAATATATTTCCAAAACAACTATCAGGGGGTTATTAGTGATTGATACTATTGTCAAAAATGCAATCAGTAAAATTTTTGTCTGTCTGTCTGTATGTTCATTACAGAAACAAAAACTACTCGACGGATTTTAACAAAACTTAGTACAATTATTCTTCATACTCCTGGGCAGGTTATACTTTTCATCACGCTACGATCAGTAGGAGCAGAGCAGTGAAGGGAAATGTTGGGAAAACGGGAGAAGTTATTCCATTTTTAAGCTTCCGTCGCGTGTGCAGCCTTAATGGCCACTTTATAAAAGGTAAAAATGTCCACCCGTACGACACCGAGACGGGCCGCTAGTTAAAAATAAAAAAAAAACATATTTACATGTATTGTTGGGGGAAAAAGGAATTATTATTAATGGGCAATAGCAACTCTATTACTAGCAATATACCTTATCAGATTGACTTCCTCGTGGTTCCCCCTGGAAACCATTGTGAATTATTCATTGGTAAATTTGTCATGATGGACTGTCTGACCTGCTTTTTCATTCTCATCTGTCATCCCTCACTAGTGCCCCGTCAGGGTACACCGAAAGCGCGAACGGGTTACCATTCCATTATCATCCATTAAAAAAAAACATCTATTGTTTAAATTATCCAATTAATATTATGATGAACAATCTGTTAATTTAATTATTTTCATTCAAATGCCATCCAACATAATTATGTTTATGATTTACTACTCAATAAAAAACTTCAACGCTATAATATCATGCAATTCACTCCTCATTGTAGTGCAGATTTGTTTGTAAATTATATATTGATTGGACTTTATCTGTATACGTTAGATAAAAAAAAAAAGTTTAAAAATGAATGTTTGTTCATGTTCAAACACATTTCGACGAAGGTTATGTTCACCACAAGAACTACAGTTGAAAAATGAATAAAACATTTTCGATAATCATAGACAGATAATTTATTTATATTGCTTACGGTGAACAAATAACAATAGACATAATAAAAAAGAAATAAAATACATATAAAAAAAAAATACAAAAGGAAAATACACAAAAGAAGTAACTTATTTCTTAACTTATATACATTTTTTCATTAACACAAAATGGTCACACAACCCAGTTTATTACTTTGCTGAGTGCAAAAGAGTAAAACACTGACGTTTTGTGGTGGCTAAAAGTCACAATTCAATCAGAAATATTAAAATATATATATATATTTTTATTTTTACATAATTGAGACGTCGCTATACTTGGTTAAGTATGAATGCTTTTTAACCGACTTCAAAAAGGAGGAGGTTCTGTATTCCACTGTACATTTTTATAATATGTCCCTTGTTTAAAATTGTTTTTACTCGCATATTGCTTTTTGTAATATTAATAAAGGTCGGATTTCATCATATTATCGTACTGAAATTATAACTGTAAAAGTTGTAAAAATATGTAATGTTTGTTACTCAATCACACTTTAATAGTAAAACAGACTTGAATGAAATTCTATACACGGATAGGTTATATTCTAACTTATTATTATATTATATTTCTTTATTAACCAATGTAACAGTTTTCGTCACACAATGGCAAGTCGATATTTGCATTATAATTTAAAAATTAATAAAATAAATAACAACAAATTAATATAATTAATTAATTAATTTTAATTAAACTTCAGAAACATAACTGTAAAAACCATATCCAATTTACAGTAGCAATACAGCTTAAAAAATTATCAAATATTCCAAAATTATGGCCTTTCTATTTTCAAATAATATACCTATGTTACAGAGTAGTAACTAAGTGTAGATTAATTTATCCATGGAGACAATGTAATTACTTGATAGTGGAACTATGGCCCATGCTAATCGCGTCTAGCGCCGACTGCAATTAGGTCGTTAATGAGTTTATAATTATTTTCAACATTGTCTCTGACGTCAATAGTTGAGGTCTAAGATAATCGGGTCATTATAATCTGGGTTTTATTTCTGAAGATTATATTTAATACCTACTTTGAATGATTATTTACTCTTACAAATACAAGTTCTTACTAATTAACTTATTATAAATTATCTCTTCCCATTTACTTCGTATGCGTAGATGCGTAGAGAAGAAAAACGAATGATATAGACTATTTCTAATATATAATAAAACATATATATATATATATATATATATATATATATATATATATATATATATATATATATATATATATATATATATATATATATATAAATTTCAGAAACACAACTGTTAAAGCCATATCCACTTTACTCAATTTGTTTACTTAGTTATGGGGGTGACCCATACCTTAGAGTATAACCCATAACTCTAGATGGTCGCGTACAGCGCAGTTTCAGAGATGTTTTGCCACGAACACTTAGATTATTAAATTAACTAGATTTTAATAGCTAACAATTTTCGTGTCACAACCCTAAGCTTACCTTTTATTTATGCATATATTTTATAAACACATTATTGTGTTACTAAATTTTATTGAGTTGTAACTGCCAGTTAAGATTTTTCCAAAAGACTATATCAGAAGGTTTTTAAAAAAGGGGTAAAAAAGTTTCTTCAGGGTCGGCAATGCGCGCATGATGACCCTAGTATGGCAGGCGTTCTTAGGCTACGGTAACCGCTTACCATCAGATGAGCCGTATGCTTGTTTGCTACCTCAGTGGTATAAAAAAAACTTAACTATCTCCCATGCACAGACATGGTTCAATTACAATTTTATTATTATAATAACATAAAAGGTAAGATGTTTCATAGTCATATATATTGATAGAGCGTATTCCTATTAACAGAGCGTATTCCTTTCGCATGGCCGTCATTAAAACTAAATGCACTGCCTTTAAGGATAGCGGACCACCGCGAAGTGCTCCTAATTGGTAGGGCTACGTGTCTTTAATGCTTAATTATAAAGATACTAATAGCATGATTTATAAGCGAACGAAGCCGAGGCATCGAATAATGACTTACGAGAAACACTATATAAATTTGATAACTTTTTATAAACGATTAAAGGATTTTTTTAATGTTTACAATCATTACGAATCATTCATTTATTAATATTGATATTTTCATGCTTTTAAGTGAAGACTTAATTCTGAATTAAATTTATACTATGTTAAATTAAATTATAATGTAAAGGATGTAATGTCATGTAATTTGATGTGATGTAATATAATATAAATTATACTATACACGTGTATAAATTACTAAATAACGTACCAGCACTCGGATAATGTAATATATCAACAATTCTATACTTGTTGTTGGTCTATCTATACCAAATTTTTAATTATGCCTAATTTGATATTTATTCATTACTACTTTAGGGTAACTCCCGAATTATAATGAGATGTGTATAACAATTTCGATCTGGTCCCTTTCAAATTTATTTTTAATACCACTAAATTAGCAACCGTAATTTTACTTTTAATTGTACTAAACAATTGTATGAAATTATGCAAAGTTAATATGTAATAATAAATATAAATACAAACGTATTGTGCAGGGAACGAAGTCAGAGCTATAGAAAAATGAGGCGGCGTGTTAAACCACCACTCCACCAAGGGCGACTCAATTAATGAATAATTTACGTTAAAGAAAATTTCTTAATTGGTAATCTGATACTGTAAAATTATACAGACATACAAAATCATTTGGTGTAATAAATTCAGCTACATTACGGCCAATGTACCACAAATTAATAATGGCTGTACAGACAAAATGTCGGTCACAGTACTATCAGATTTAACTTCAATGCTGTTTATTAGTGGTTTGCAGTAATGTATTAAAATTTATGTGAACACGCACTGTGACATTTTGGTGGTCGTAAATATAGTACGTCCTGTGCCGTGAACTCAAACTGTAATCGTAAATAGGTCTCGAAATTAATTGAATTTAAAATATAAACAGTATATTTGGAAATACTTTTGGTACATTATTTTGGTAGTTTATTGTATGATATTTTTGATACGGATTTTTCAATATCTGATTTCTTTGTAAGTGTACTAGTTTCAAAGAGTTCACAGTTTTTTTTTTATATTTATTATTTTATTTCGAATAATAAAATATAATTGTTTTCTACGCATACATAAGACTATTATAGACTCTCTTTGGTGATCGGTTAGTGAACTCATGATAGCTTCCCGCCAATACGTAAGTAAAATGTGGCTAACATGTGAAATAAATTTTTACGTAAATATAATTAATTGTGATTTCTAATTATTAAAAAATAATTAAGTTCAAACTTTCACACATGTAAAAACCTTTTTCGTAGATATGAGTAGAAAATTTATTCATATACTTATAATAATATTTATGTATAGTCTCTGTCAATCTATTTAACTCTAATTTTGTCTTTGGGGAGAATGAATTGTTAATAATGGAGAACTAACAGCTCTATTACTAGCAATATACCCTATCTAGTCACCTTCATACGTTCCCTCTGGAAAACATGTTAGTTAATTCTTGTGGAATTCATCACCACAAACTAACTGACCTATTTTCATTCTCTTCTATCATCCCTCACATCCATTAAAAAAAAATATCTTGTCTCTACCTCTGCGTATTCTTATGTAGTTCACATTACAGAAAGAAGTTTTCGATATACCTAGTTCTTTTCTTAACTAAATGCAGATTTTATTTATCAATTTCAAAAACAAAAAATCTTTTTAGTTGCGGTCAAGGAAGTTCTCAATTCAAAAGTTTTTCTGTGCGTATATTAGGCGATTATCATCGCCAAATCTGAATTTATTTTAAATAAATTATTTTACAACCGTTCCGTGCTAATTGCGTCACAATCGAACACAGTTTTTTATACAATAAAATTAAACTTAATTACGATATTTTTCTTGCATAGAAAAAGTAAATATTCTTACGTCTTTAATTACATATTTACATTCCACTTTGGAACTTTGTCATTAATGTATATAATAATGATATCTATACATAATAACGTGATAGTATAATTAGTTTGTTAAATGTAAAACGACAATTTCCACGTCAACGAAATGATTAAATTATACAACTTTATGATTACAAATCATCCTAACACATTCACACTACGTATTACATATATATTAATGCAGTATATATACATAGCGTTTTATAAAGCTAAAGATAAACGTCCATAAAATTAAAAAAAAAAAAACCTCATAATGCAAATATGCGCGTCTTTAAGTGGGACCAGATAGGTCTTGCCCAGTCCAGAATTGTTTGGTGCCCACTCCAAAATCAAGAGCGCAACTTTCAGCTGTGTCATTCATATACACTTTTTGAAAGGGTTAGAATAATCCCGGAAAATAATAAAATAACTCTTATTCAAGTAAACTTAATTATCAGCTAAGTTTTATGTAGTATTTTTCAAAAATCTACCGCCGAAGGGACAAGAAATACAGCTGTTACTTTGTATGTAAAAAAAAATGAATGGATATAAAGACTATCGTCAAGTATATTACCTAACCATTATGTATCTTACAGACAACGAATTTTTTTGCGGGTTTCAAAACCTTACTGAAATTAAATTAATTCAAATTTGTAACCACTTTTATTTTTACTTTTTCAACAACAGAAATCTAAGCCCTCACATTATTAATAGTTATAAATTGTCTATAATAACATTGAACGCCTATATATCTATAATAACATTGATTAACATTGAATTATAATATTTATCTTATTGGACCGCTACACATCTGTATATTGCCATACAAATTGAAGTTAAGATTTGGAGGAGTATACATTAACGAAGATAGTTTATAGCATGTTTATCGCACGTATAGTATAGGTATCTATTGCAATAATAATATAGCATTGGTATAAACTCTATATATATATGCATAACCATAATGACGTATTTCCATTGAAACAAGATTGAAACAATGTAATGAACACCCACAATATAATAATTATCATATCACACGATTGTGATATGACATCACATTGTTATACAATAGCTAAATACGTCATGTATCAATTTAATAAAATGTATACATTTCATGTTTACAACACTTAATTGTATAGTTAAGTACAACTGTATTACTTATCACAAGTTGCATCCGGTCGCTATTTACATATTATATTCAATACCTAAAAACTATTACTTCATAGAAACTTTAACTATTACACATTTTTGTCACTTTTTTTTTATGGAACTTAAAATAGCAAACAAGCTAACGACCTGGTGGAAAGTGGTAACCGTCGCCTATAGACATGAGCACTACCATGGATATAACAGAGTATTCTGTTTCGCTCATGATACCTTCTATGCGTTGTTATTCCTGAGGACTCAGGTGTTATTCCTCTGTACCCTGTAAATTCACTGCCATATCTCACCCTTCAAACCGAAACACAGCCATGTCTCTAGGCGACGGTTACCACTTTTTCATCAGGTGGGCTGTCATCTTGTTTGCCATTCTAAGTTATATAAAAAAAAACTGCTTCACGGTAGAAATACGAATGGGACAGAGATGTCCAAGCAAACGACTTTTGTACAAAGTTGCCGGTCACTTTCGTTCAAACTGAGAATTTTGCGCAAAACAAAGAGACATAATAGTTAAAATAGGCTTATTAGAGATTTGACGTTCATATAAATAAGGAGCTATGTATGTAGCTGTTATACTCATACAATATGCTATATGCATTTAAATTAAGAAATACGTACTTATAATGTGACCATATAAGATGTAAAAAAAAAACAAAAATAAGTATAAGGCAGTTCAAAAATGACCTTGGTAATTAATATAACCTACAAAAAAGCTAACTTGAAAAATTCTTATATATATTCTTTGTTGCACTTGAACAATAGATACAGCGATTAGTTTAACAACTAATTAGCAAGAGAGGAATTCTTCCCTTTAAAAAAAAATAGAAACCTTTCCTATTCTCTTGTAATTTTTTCCCATGCTATAAACAGATTCTTATATACTACATATGTAATAACTTATAATTATTTAAAATTTTGTTCAATATTATAAAACCGACTTGAATATTAATAAAATCAGTATAAGACCAAGGTGGGAATAAAGTATTTAAAAGAAGTCATTAAAAACGGTTCAAATTTACTAAAGATATCGCATAACAATCACGCCAAAAACAAATAAGTAAAATTAAAGCATCCTTCATTTTTAA